GGGGGGAAATGGGGAAAAAAGGGGGGATAGTGAAAATTGTGGGGGAAAAATAGTGAAAAAGTGGGGGGGAATAAGGTAAATTGGGGAAAAATAGTGGGGAAAATGGGGAAAAGGGGAAAAAGTAAAAAGGGAAAAAGCGAGGAAAGGAAAAGGGGTAAAAAGGAGGAGAAAAAGGAAAGAAAAGAAAAAAAAATGAGAAAAAGAGAGGAAGAAAGGAGGATAAAGAGGGAAAAGGAGGAAAAAAAAGGAGAAGAAAGAGGGAAAAAGGAGGAAAAAAATAGGAAAAATAGGAGAAAGGGATGAAAGGGGGGAAAAGGAGGAATAAAGGCAGAAAAAAAGGAGGAAAAAAAGAGAGAAAATCAGGAAAAAAAAGCAGAAAATCATGAAGAAAAGCAAGGAAAAAAGAGGAATAAAAAGGGGGCACCGACCTTCCTTGAAGATGCCGTGCACGGTGAAGCAGAGCAGCGTGTTCTGGAACACAGGGGGGGGTCAGGGGGCTGCCAGGGTGGCCCAAAATTGCCCGAATTCCCGGGGTTTTGGGGGGCTCTCACCGTCTGGGCGCAGATGTCCACCACGAAGGAGTTGACGTCGTGCTGGGTCTTGGGCAGCTCGTTGAGGAACGCCACCACGTTGAGCCGGGTGTGCTTGAGCAGCTTGAAACGCATGGCTGGGGGCGAGGGAAAATAAAATAAAATGAAATGAAATGTCTCAGAGGGGTCCCAGAAAGGGCTGGAATGCTCACTGGAATAACTGGGGATGGCACAAAAATCCACAGAAAAATCCACACGAGGATAGCCTAAAATGGCCCAAAAATTCACACAAAAACCCCCACGAGGATAGCCTAAAATGGCCCAAAAATTCACACAAAAACCCCCACGAGGATAGCCTAAAATGGCCCAAAAATTCACACAAAAACCCCCACGAGGATAGCCTAAAATGGCCCAAAAATTCACACAAAAACCCCCACGAGGATAGCCTAAAATGGCCCAAAAATTCACACAAAAACCCCCACGAGGATAGCCTAAAATGGCCCAAAAATTCACACAAAAACCCCCACGAGGATAGCCTAAAATGGCCCAAAAATTCACACAAAAACCCCCACGAGGATAGCCTAAAATGGCCCAAAAATTCACACAAAAACCCCCACGAGGATAGCCTAAAATGGCCCAAAAATTCACACAAAAACCCCCACGAGGATAGCCTAAAATGGCCCAAAAATTCACACAAAAACCCCCACGAGGATAGCCTAAAATGGCCCAAAAATTCACACAAAAACCCCCACGAGGATAGCCTAAAATGGCCCAAAAATTCACACAAAAACCCCCACGAGGATAGCCTAAAATGGCCCAAAAATTCACACAAAAACCCCCACGAGGATAGCCTAAAATGGCCCAAAAATTCACACAAAAACCCCCACGAGGATAGCCTAAAATGGCCCAAAAATTCACACAAAAACCCCCACGAGGATAGCCTAAAATGGCCCAAAAATTCACACAAAAACCCCCACGAGGATAGCCTAAAATGGCCCAAAAATTCACACAAAAACCCCCACGAGGATAGCCTAAAATGGCCCAAAAATTCACACAAAAACCCCCACGAGGATAGCCTAAAATGGCCCAAAAATTCACACAAAAACCCCCACGAGGATAGCCTAAAATGGCCCAAAAATTCACACAAAAACCCCCACGAGGATAGCCTAAAATGGCCCAAAAATTCACACAAAAACCCCCACGAGGATAGCCTAAAATGGCCCAAAAATTCACACAAAAACCCCCACGAGGATAGCCTAAAATGGCCCAAAAATTCACACAAAAACCCCCACGAGGATAGCCTAAAATGGCCCAAAAATTCACACAAAAACCCCCACGAGGATAGCCTAAAATGGCCCAAAAATTCACACAAAAACCCCCACGAGGATAGCCTAAAATGGCCCAAAAATTCACACAAAAACCCCCACGAGGATAGCCTAAAATGGCCCAAAAATACCTGAAAACCACAACAAAAATCCTCACAAAAATCCCCCCAAAAATACCCTAAAACCACAACAAAAATACGCTGAAACGGCCCAAAAATTCACACAAAAATCCACACGAGGATACCCTAAAACGGCCCAAAAATCCCCACAAAAATACCCCCAAAAATCCTCCCAAAAATATCCTAAAATGGCCAAAAATCCTCCCAAAAATCCCCTAAAACCACCCCAAAAATCCCCCCAAAAATCTCCCCAAAAATCCCCCTCACAATCTGCCCCAAAAAACCTCAAAACCCCCCAAAATTCCCCTAAAACCTCCCCAAAAAAACCCATTAAAAAACCCTCAAAACTCCCAAAAAACCCCCAAAAATACCCCAAATTTGCCCAAATTTTCCCAAAATTTTCTCCAAATTTCCCCAATTTCCCCAAATTTGCCCCAAATTTTCTCCAAATTTTCTCCAAATTTCCCCAAATTTTCTCCAAATTTCTCCAAATTTCCCCAAAATTTCCCCAAATTTGCCCCAAATTTCCCCAAAATTTCCCCAAATTTGCCCCAAATTTCCCCAAAATTTCCCCAAATTTGCCCCAAATTTCCCCAAAATTTCCCCAAATTTGCCCCAAATTTCCCCAAAATTTCCCCAAATTTGCCCCAAATTTCCCCAAAATTTCCCCAAATTTCTCCAAATTTGCCCCAAATTTCTCCATATTTGCCCCAAATTTCCCCAAAATTTGCCCAAATTTCCCCAAAATTTCCCCAAATTTCCCCAAATTTGCCCAAATCTGCCCCGGCCCTCACTGGGGTCCTTCAGCTTCTTCACGTTCCGGCTGTCCTTGAAATACTCGTTCAGGCTGTTCCTGAAACAGCAATTAACGGCAATTAACGGGGGATTAACGAGATTTTAATTAGGGATTAATGGGGGATTAACAGGGAAATTAATGGGGAATTAATGGGGAATTAACGGGGAATTAATGGGGGATTAATGGGGAATTAATGGGGGATTAATGGGGAATTAATGGGGGATTAATGGGGAATTAATGGGGGATTAATGGGGAATTAATGGGGGATTAATGGGGAATTAATGGGGGATTAATGGGGAATTAATGGGGGATTAATGGGGAATTAATGGGGGATTAATGGGGAATTAATGGGGGATTAATGGGGAATTAATGGGGGATTAATGGGGAATTAATGGGGGATTAATGGGGAATTAATGGGGGATTAATGGGGAATTAATGGGGAATTAGCGGGGATTAATTGGGAATTAACGGGGAATTAATGAGATTGTAATGGGCTATTAATGAGGAATTAACGAGTTCTGGTGGTTTTTTGGGCAGGTTTCGGGCTGGTTTTTGTGGTTTTTGTGTTTCTGGTGTATTTTGGGTGCTTTCGGTGTATTTTGGGTGGTTTCGGTGTATTTTGGGTGCTTTCGGTGTATTTTGGGTGGTTTCGGTGTATTTTGGGTGGTTTCGGTGTATTTTGGGTGGTTTCGGTGTATTTTGGGTGCTTTCGGTGTATTTTGGGTGGTTTCGGTGTATTTTGGGTGGTTTGGGAAAATTTGAGTTAAGATTGGGAGAAATTGGGGGAAAAGTGGAAAAAATTGGGAAAAATTGGGGAAAAATAAGAGAAATTTAAGAGAAATGGGAGTTTTGGGGGGAAAACGGGGAAAAAATTGGGGGAAATGGGGGAAAAATGGGGGAAATGGGGAATTTAGGGGGAGGAATGGGGAGAAAATGGGGGGAAATGGGGAAAATGGGAGATTTGGGGGAAAAAGAATGGGAATTTTAGGGAGAAAATGGGAAAAAATGGGGGGAAATGGGAATTTTGGGGGTAAAAATGGGGTAAAATGGGAGTTTGGGGAAAAATAATGGGAGTTTTGGGGGGGAAAATGGGAATTTTGGGGGGGGAAACAGGAAAAATGGGAATTTGGGGGGGAAATAATGGGAATTTTCGGGGGGAAAACAGGAAAAATGGGAGTTTGGGGGGAAAATAATGGGAGTTTTGGAGGGAAAATGGGGAACAATGGGAATTTTGGGAAAAAAACGGGGAGAAAATGGGAAATTCAGGGGAAAAATGGGAATTTTGGGGGGAAAACATGGGATTTTTTTGGGGAAAAATGGGGTTTGGGAGCTGGGTTTTTTTTGGGTGAATTTGTGGGGTTTTTTGGGGAAGGGATTGAGGTGAGATTTGGGGATTTTTTGGGGGGGTTTTTGGGTTTTTTGGGCACTCACTGCTGGAGGAAGCGCAGAACCAAAGCCTTGAGGTCGTCGGAGCCGAAGTAGCTGCCCTGAAAATGGGGAGGGGGACACAGTGAGACCCCCAGGGTGGGGGAGCCCAAAAAGGGGGAAATCCCCCAAAAAAGGCACAATCTCCATAAAAAAGGGGGAAAATTCCCCAAAAAAAGGGGAAAATCCCTTAAAGAGAGGAGGGGTATCCCCAAAAAGGGGGGAAATTACCCAAAAAGGGAGGAAATTCCCCCAAAAAAGGGGGGAAATCCCCTAAAAAGGGGAGGAGTCTCCCCAAAAGGGGAGGGGTCTCCCCAAAAAAGGGGGAATCCCCAACAAAGGGGAAAAAAATCTCCCCAAAAAGGGAAGAAATTCCCCCCAAAAAGGGGACAATTCCCACAAAAAAGGGGGAAAATCCCCTAAAAAGGGGAGGGGTCTCCCCAAAAAAGGGGAAATTCCCCAAAAAGGGGAAAATCCCCTAAAAAGGGGAGGGGTCTCCCCAAAAAAGGGGAAATTCCCCAAAAAAGGGGGAAAAATCTCCCCATAAAAAGGGGGAAATCCCCCCAAAAAGGGAGGAAATCCCCCCAAAAAGGGGAAAATCCACCTAAAAAGAGGAGGGGTCTCCCCAAAAAGGGGGAAAATCCCCCCAAAAAGGGGAAAACCCCTAAAATGGGGAGGGGTCTCCCCAAAAAGGGGGAAAATCCCCCCAAAAAGGGGAAAACCCCTAAAATGGGGAGGGGTCTCCCCAAAAAGGGGGGGGTCCCACCTTGCAGGGCGGCAGCGTCGTGGGGGCCTCGACGTCGAAGGCGATGGGGGGGGGGAGCTCGTGGCCGTCCTGGGGGGCACAGGGGGGAATTTGGGGGGGGGGCGTCCATGGGGGCCCCTGAAGCAGTCGCACAGGGGGCTCTGGGGCTCTATGGGGGTTTTGGGGGTCCCTGGGGCTCTGGGGGTCTCAGGGTGTTTTGGGGCTGTTCCAGGGGGTCCCCGGGGGTCTCAGGGTGTTTTTGGGGGGTCTCTGGGGGTCCCACACCTGATGTAGCTGGCCTGGTCCCTGAAGCAGTCGCACAGGGGGCTCTGGGGCTCTATGGGGGTTTTGGGGGTCCCTGGGGCTCTGGGGGTCTCAGGGTGTTTTGGGGCTGTTCCAGGGGGTCCCCGGGGGTCTCAGGGTGTTTTTGGGGGGTCTCTGGGGGTCCCACACCTGATGTAGCTGGCCTGGTCCCTGAAGCAGTCGCACAGGGGGCTCTGGGGCTCTATGGGGGTTTTGGGGGTCCCTGGGGCTCTGGGGGTCTCAGGGTGTTTTGGGGCTGTTCCAGGGGGTCCCCGGGGGTCTCAGGGTGTTTTTGGGGGGTCTCTGGGGGTCCCACACCTGATGTAGCTGGCCTGGTCCCTGAAGCAGTCGCACAGGGGGCTCTGGGGCTCTATGGGGGTTTTGGGGGTCCCTGGGGCTCTGGGGGTCTCAGGGTGTTTTGGGGCTGTTCCAGGGGGTCCCCGGGGGTCTCAGGGTGTTTTTGGGGGGTCTCTGGGGGTCCCACACCTGATGTAGCTGGCCTGGTCCCTGAAGCAGTCGCACAGGGGGCTCTGGGGCTCTATGGGGGTTTTGGGGGTCCCTGGGGCTCTGGGGGTCTCAGGGTGTTTTGGGGCTGTTCCAGGGGGTCCCCGGGGGTCTCAGGGTGTTTTTGGGGGGTCTCTGGGGGTCCCACACCTGATGTAGCTGGCCTGGTCCCTGAAGCAGTCGCACAGGGGGCTCTGGGGCTCTATGGGGGTTTTGGGGGTCCCTGGGGCTCTGGGGGTCTCAGGGTGTTTTGGGGCTGTTCCAGGGGGTCCCCGGGGGTCTCAGGGTGTTTTTGGGGGGTCTCTGGGGGTCCCACACCTGATGTAGCTGGCCTGGTCCCTGAAGCAGTCGCACAGGGGGTTCCCGTCCAGCCACAGCTCCTGCAGCTTCAGCCCCTTGACCTTGTCCAGCTCCCGCTCCGACTTCAGCTGGGCACGGGATGGGCACGGCATGGGCACAGCTGGCACAGCTGGCACAGCTGGCACGGGGCACGGGAATGGGGAATGGGCACGGGATGGGCACAGCTGGCACAGCTGGCACAGCTGGCACGGGGCACGGCATGGGCACAGCTGGCACAGCTGGCACAGCTGGCCCGGGGCACGGCATGGGCACGGCATGGGCAC